ATACCACAGCAATCTTTCCAAGTATTTTCTTTATTCTTCTTGCTTCCTAAACTGACAATCAGGTCTTCTTATGGTATTTATTCATTACATTGGTTAAGTTAAATTACATTTTAAATGTGAGTGCCTATTCACACTAGCAATGAACAGGAATAGTAAGAGGCTTCCTTTAGGAAATCCACTAGAAATTTTCTGTAGGACTACGTACTGTTTTTTTGGCAAAGAAAATGTCAAATCTGTTAACAAATTAATACCCTTTATAGCAGATAGTGATAAACACTTTCATGTGCAGTTTATGGCTAGTGATATGTTTGGCTGTCTACAATAATTATTTCAACAAAGTGGAATATGATTTGTCGGGTGAATGTACATTGTAGTCCTGAGCAGGACTGTTGTTGACAGCGACTAACGTTTAGACAACAAGGTGATCACCATTTTCATGGGCATTGTCAAAACATCAGTTCCTGTCAACAGTCCCACTAAGTGCTATACTAACCTGTATGACCATATACCACTTACTCATACGACCATTCTGCTTCAGGATAATTTTATAATTATGGTGTCAGGAAATATTCTTACTCTTCTAACATGGTGGTCTAAACAACACAATTTTCTATGACCACTGCAAAGATTGAAATGCAAAAAAATACATCAACAAACAAAGTATGGCTACAGTTTTACATAATACAAGTCTGCTAAAACGGTTTATGTGTTTCATGTGTACGTTTTAGGTCACTTCTATGCTGAAGTCATTACTTAGGGCGCTTTCCATTTGTCAAAACTGACCGGCCAGAACATTCCAGTGGTAACGACAATTTCACTTTTAATCACAACTATCCAACTAGATCAGTCAAAACCTAAATACTAATACACAAAGGTGATGGTTTTTCAGCAAAAACTCTTGGGAAAAAGCTATTTCATTGTCAAAATGACTGCTCCAGCCATGGTCCGGCCGGCCAGTTCTGACTTTTGGAAAGCGCCCTTAGTGTCTTTACCCTTACACAAAATGCTTGACTTGTAGAGTCATGAAGAAGATACATGCATCAAGCCAATTTCATCAAGAAGCACAAACCATAATAATTCTTGGTGATTTATGCAGTCACAGCATTATTTTAACCTTGAAAAAGTTGGCCAAGTTTCAATCCATGATCATCTTTGTCATACATAGCAAGAGGTGATGGGAAACAGTGCCAATGCCTCAATTAAGTTTTAAATAACAGAACTGGACCATTATTTTTGGAACTTAATTTAAGCCAAGACACATTTAAGCCTCTCAAAGAACAAAATATAGCATAGCATAACCTAGCCCTTTTAAAGCAATATAAAATGCCTTTCTGGAAAAGATGTTCACAAAGTTCTAATAATTATTATTGTTATAAATGATTATGCGTTACTGACCAACATTCAGTCAAGATGCCTGGATATTGGCCAGGCTCTTTTTTGCGAGGCCAATACCCAGCTATCTTTACCGAACAAGCTTGATTGGTTTCCCCACTTGAGTAGCCAATTAGAACACAGAATTTGCTTCACCTTGCCCGCTCACGGATTCAACCATAAAATTGTAATAAATAATTATGCTTTATTGACCGGGTGTGAGGTTAAGATGGCTGGATATTTGCGTCTTTATTGACCCTGCCTTCCCTTGCAAGGCTGTGCTCTAAGAAAAATTGAAGGCAGCCCAGCACTCTGAACTTGTGAAATCCAGTGTGCCCAGCAAATGATTTCTATGAAAAAGAAAAGATTTTCGCCTGAGAACAAAAGTTACAGATGTAGGCGCAACGGGCCACAGAGCACAGCCTGGCCTTGGTCAATAAAAATACAAAAATGAATGAGGTCAATATTCAGCCATCTTGAATGAACAAGCTTGGTCAATAAATGAATTATTACATGGCCAAGAAGAGAACTTTTACTTGCGGGACCAATGCAGGAAATCCCAAGTGGGCCAAATGGGCTCACCTTGCCCCCTTGGGTAGCCAATTAGAATGCAAGGGTTGCTTCACCTTGCCCACTCGAGGTAGCAGTTGGACATTTTTTGTCTTTAGCATAGAAGTAGTATTTCAAGATTAACATTTGCAGAACTTGACTAAGCATAAAGCACAGTAACTTGAGACTGAAATTAAGTTCCATGAACCAGCCTGCTTTGAGAGAACGTTCTGCACCAACATCACATACCAAGGTGATCTGCCTGGCCTGTTGTATGAAAAACAAAACAAAGTGCTAATAAGTAAAACACAGAAGCTATTCCCCAGAAAAACTTTCTGACAACCCTGATTCATCACATTACAATAATTTTACAAGCATACAGTTGTGTTTCATAGTAATAGCTAGTACATTATGTTGCCCGCAACCTGCAACGTTAAGACTATGGACCAGGGGTTACATGTACATGTAAATGTAAACAGAGGCTGTCTATGATTACCAGTACCAGTAACAAAAAGCCTACTTTTCAAGGGCACAACCTCCCTCAGGTTGTACATTATCATCTACACGTACAGGGTCAATACCAGGGGAAGCAGGGGAAAGTAACAAGGTCTGGGTGCAAGAAATGATGTTCTCACAACTTGTAAAGCGATAACCCTGGTGGGCAGCAGATAATTTACTGCAGTAAATGTATACTTCCGGTGTACAATGTATTACGGAAAACAAAGTTCCCATCAAACTCCCCCGAACAAAACAGTTTGGCCATCAAACAATATCAAACCAGCTTTCTGGAGAGTTTGATGCCTGAACAAAATCGAAACAAACCAAATTATATTGGAAAAAAATAAAATGTGAAAACTGAGTCAACTCAACAAGCCAGGGAAATCTGACAAGTGCTGGATTCAGAATATGCTACAATATTATTGAGGCCAATTATGTAGTGAAGAGTAATAACTGAGATGATTACCAAGATGATTTCAACTTGCAGATTTAAAGACTTTTTCCTTGGTAAACAAAATAAATGTATTGACATTTTCACAGAAAATGTTTATTTTAGAATTTAACTCTGAAATGGAAATAATAAAAGAAGCAGGATCTTACATCGCCTTGACTGCTTTCACACTAGATCAATAATTAACACACTTGTCATCAATTGCTTGGAACTGAAACGCTTGTTTTTGTTCCATTCGAGTGTTCCTTATGTGAGTTCCACTTTGTTTGATAACCCAACTCAATGTTTGACTGAATTCAAAAATCAAATGATCTATTCAATTTTTTTTTGTGAGTGGGTTTTGTTGAATGGCTGAGCTGCATCAAACTCTTTCATTCGAAAGAGTTTGATCTAACAACAAAACATTCAATGTGATATACTGGATATACATGTACATGTGTTTCCTAAAGTAAATATTTTAGCAGTGAGAGGCGAACCAACAGAGAAAATATAGTCAATAATTGACAAAAATATCATGCCTCTTTGTTTTTCTCACATGTTGTAATTGTTTCTTGGTACTGAAGATGCAAGAGAAACTAAAAAAAATGTGACAGTCACCGCAACCATGTAACATCTTAACTGACAACAATGTATGCTGAGCTATGAGCGTGGGTATTCAAGGAATGATCAGTAAACAAATCTGCTGGTTGCTTTGCAAGTTGTGGGAACATTGTTTGGATTTCAAGAGAACATATTTAAGGAGTACCCTCCTTCCCCCTGGTCAATATGATGTTTGCATAGAACTGCAGGGTAGTACAGGATAAATAAAAGTGGTTTTACTAGTTTAACTCCACTGCTGGTTTTGCTGTCCACTGAAATGAAGACTTAGGGCGCTTTCCATTTGTCAGAACCGACCGGCCAAACCATTCCCAACGCAATGAGAATTTCCATTTTAATCAAATCTCTCCAGCCAGATCAGTCAAATCCTAAGTAGTATGCACCAAGGAAATGGTTGTTCAGCAAAAACTCTTGGCAAAAGCGTATTTCAATATCAAACCGACTGGTTGGACAATGGTCCGGCCGGCCAGTTCCAACAAATGGAAAGCGCTCTTAAAGTCTGGATCACTCTGTTACAGTCGATTTCACATTATTTACCACACCATGTTGCAAAGTTCGTTGGAAAATTGGGTACTACATCATGAAGTAGCCAATTACTTATAAGTTAGGGAATCAAATTGCGAACTTCAAGACATAGTTGTCAACTTCGACTGAGCTTCACAAGTTTGCTCAACAGTAACTTCACTTCCCAGTTGTTTTAATCACCGAGTTCTCGTCAAAAAAGTACCTGTTCCTGGGATCACAGTTACTGAAAAAAAATATATGCTTCAACTTTTTCTTGAGCGTTCTCAGTCAAGCATTATTATATTATTAGATTAAGCTCTCTTTTGGAACTATTGTCAACTCTTTGCAAGAGTAACCGAAATCACGTGTCAATACATGACTTATTGAACCTTTGCGGGTCAACAACCTGATTTTCGATTTAATGTTTTTGTATTTCCGTAGCATACATACTTGGTCGTCGCTGTTTAAAAAACTCTGTGTAGGGGCTTCCTGGACATATGAAACGATCAACAATATTTGTTACCGTCCTTCTCAGTAAATTAAACTGGTGCACTATTTGGAATGGTTTCAGACCCCAGTGATTTTGTTACCTCTGCATCTTGTGTCCCTCACACAAAAAATTATCCAAAGACGCAAAATAATTCATGGCATGCATCCCGTAGGATGCAAAGGATGATCGATCGATTTGAAGATTTGTTGGTAGAATATCCTGTTTGTGCGATTTCTGTAGCTGTTGTTTAAAGATGTATATAAATATTTTAGTCTTTTTGTGCTTTAAATATATAGGACTATATTTTCATTTTAGTAAACTGTCATAAAAAGTTTTGGCATCTGTCTCCAGATTAACTGTCTGGTTAAAAGGCTATACCAGGCACGATTTACGGACAGGTTTTCAGCGTAAGCTTTCGTGTAAGCCGCTTACAGGGCTTACAAGGCTTACAGATTAGAAATTAACATAAGGGTTACTCTTATTGAAAATTAGCTAGATTCCTTCATCTAAAAGTGGTTGCCATGGCAACGTCACTTAGGGGCTTACAGGGCTTACGGGCTTACAGGGCTAACAGGGCTTACAGGGTTAACAGGGCTTACAGGACTTACAGGGCTTACAGGGCTTACAGGGCTTATGGGCTTACAGGGTTAACAGGGCTAACAGGGCTTACAGGGTTAACAGGGCTAACAGGGCTTACAGGGTTAACAGGGCTTACAGGGCTTACAGGCTTACAGGGCTAACAGGGCTTACAGTGCTTACGGGCTTACAGGGCTAACAGGGCTTACGGGCTTACAGGGCTTACAGGCTTACAGGGCTTACGGGCTTACAGAGCTTACAGGGCTTACAGGCTTACAGGGCTTACGGGCTTACAGGGCTTACAGGCTTACAGGGCTAACAGGGCTTACAGGGTTAACAGGGCTTACAGGGCTTACGGGCTTACAGGGCTTACAGGGCTTACGGGCTAACAGGCCTTACAGGGCTTACGGGCTTACAGGGCTTACAGACTTACAGGGCTTACGGGCTTACAGGGCTTATGGGCTTACAGGGCTTACAGGCTTACAGGGCTTACAGGGCTTACAGGGTTAACAGGGCTTACAGGGCTAACAGGGCTTACAGGGCTTACCGGCTTACAGGGCTTACAGGGCTTACGGGCTAACAGGCCTTACAGGGCTTACGGGCTTACAGGGCTTACAGACTTACAGGGCTTACGGGCTTACAGGGCTTATGGGCTTACAGGGCTTACAGGCTTACAGGGCTTACAGGGCTTACAGGCTTACAGGGCTTACGGGCTTACAGGGCTTACAGGGTTAACAGGGCTTACAGGGCTAACAGGGCTTACAGGGCTTACAGGGTTAACAGGGCTTACAGGGCTTACAGGGTTAACAGGGCTTACAGGGCTTACGGGCTTACAGGGCTTACGGGCTTACAGGGCTAACAGGGCTTACAGGGCTTACAGGGCTTACAGGGCTTACGGGCTTACAGGGCTAACAGGGCTTACAGGGCTAACAGGGCTTACAGGGCTTACAGGGCTTACGGGCTTACGGGCTTACAGGGCTTACAGGGCTTACGCGCTTACAGGGCTTACGGGCTTACAGGGCTAACAGGGCTTACGGGCTTACAGGGTTAACAGGGCTTACAGGGCTTACGGGCTTACAGGGTTAACAGGGCTTACAGGGCTTACGGGCTTACGGGCTTACGGGCTTACAGGGCTTACAGGGCTTACAGGGCCTACGGGCTTACAGGGCTAACAGGGTTTACAGGGTTAACAGGGCTTACAGGGCTTACGGGCTTACAGGGCTTACGGGCTTACAGGGGTAACAGGGCTTACAGGGCTTACATGCTTACAGGGCTTACAGGGCTTACAGGGCTTACAGGGTTAACAGGGCTTACAGGGCTTACATGCTTACAGGGCTTACAGGGTTAACAGGGCTTACAGGGCTTACAGGGTTAACAGGGCTTACGGGCTTACAGGGTTAACAGGGCTTACAGGGCTTACGGGCTTACAGGGCTTACGGGCTTACAGGGCTTAGAGGGCTTACAGGGCTTACAGGCTTACAGGGCTTACGGGCTTACAGGGTTAACAGGGCTAACAGGGCTTACAGGGTTAACAGGGCTTACGGGCTTACAGGGCTTACAGGGCTTACAGGGCTTACAGGGCTTACGGGCTTACAGGGTTAACAGGGCTTACGGGCTTACAGGGTTAACAGGGCTTACAGGGCTTACGGGCTTACAGGGCTTACAGGGCTAACAGGACTTACAGGGTTAACAGGGCTTACGGGCTTACAGGGCTTACAGGGCTTACAGGCTTACAGGCTTACAGGCAAGAAAAATTGCTTGAAGCCAGATTTAGAGCATCGCTCTCTAATATGGGAGAAGATTTAAGGATATTAAATAATTGTTCATGCGGTAATAATTTCCTTTTCAGGCCTGCGAAACGTGGACAAGTGAGAGGTTGTGTGTTTTAAGGTTGCTAAACATTTAGTAGAGAGGACTATCCTTGAAGTTTTCTATGAAAGGTTGACTTTTTCATGCTTGATATGTGCTCGAGCTCTAAACCTATACTTTGCTCAAAAATTACTCTCGGTTGCTCGACTTAGTTGCTCCAAACGCTAAAAGTTGCTGAAAAGTTGCCGAGCACAATTGGCACAGGCCTAAGCTACGCAGTCATTTGCCATCATGGTTTACGAAGCATCGCCCCATGTAAGGGAATCCGGATTCCGGAATCCGGGAAATTTTTGCATGTAGAATCCGGAATCTTGGAAACTTTTACTTATGGAATCCGGAATCCTGGGCCTTGGAATCCGGAATACAGCTGTCAGAATCCGGAATCCCCCTAACAATTGGAATCCGGAATCCAAGTTCCACTGTATAAGATCTGGAGTCTAGTAATTGGAATCCGGAATCCACGGCGTGGAATCCAGAATCCAAGACTGTCTTGGATTCCCTTACATGGGGCGAGAAGCAACCATTACATTTACAGGAATTAACTTTAAGAAGAAAGCTAGAAACGTAGGTTTCATAATGAATAATTATTTGTCGTTTAGTGCTCACATCAATGAAGTTTGTAAAATTGCTACTCCAGCAATAAGATCAATAGGATGTTTACTTGGTTAATTAATGCTCTTGTTATTTCTCGATTAGATTACTGCAACAGTGTTTTATATGGCATACCTTAATATCAAAAAGATAAACTTCAAAAAATTCAGAATACTGCAGTGCGTTATATGATGTGTTCTAGTGTCGTTTCGACCATTGCACGCCTTTATAAAAAAAACGTGCCCTGGCTACCAGTTCAGAAAAGGAGCGAATTCAACAGTCTCCCCTTAATCTCACTACAAGACCATAAATGGCCAGTTGGTAGACTACTTGAAGTCTCTAATAAAAGTCCATCATCCATCACGAACTATAAGATCAGGGTCACGTTCACTACTCTACCTTATCAAAGAGCTAGAACAGAGCCATTTTGGTTGCGGCCCCTAAATTTTAGAATGGTGTGGAGTCACCCAGCAGGACGAGGCGTGTCAAAGGACGAATGAGCTTATTATGAGCCAACGGTTCGCATGCAGCTGGTGCTGTAAAGCTTCCTGCTTTATCTCCAGCCACCTCGCCCATGTCCCGCAAGGGGGCCTAAACTTTCAGGGCGACAGAGTGAGGCTCACGACACGGCGCAACTCTTCCACACCTTAATCCAATTCACGTGCAAGTGACTGAGATATCATACCCATTCATCCTTAAAGCTCTGTCGCAAAGGGGCGTGTGGCGAGCCGCGCAGGTGCAGATTCACTGCCACTGGAAGCTGTGGTCACAACATACTAGGTTCGTTCGCTACTGGACTGAAGGAGCGGTGGAGTTCGGCATCTCCCCTGAATGTCTGAGCATTCCCCTTTAGGAATTCTTCTGTGTTCCTCCATCACCTGAGGAAGGGGCTAGAAAAGATGCTCCCAACAAAGGCTGCCTTAGCTTACCGCGGCAAGAGGGGATCCTATCTATGCGGTCGAAACATCAAGATGAAAACAAAGCTCACATCGCGATCGATCGACACATGGAATGTACATACGCTCATGGACAGCACCAAAGTTTACAGACCTGAGACGGACAGCTCTAGTTGCAAGAGAACTGGGCAGATACAACATTCATATCCCAGCGTAGTGAGACAAGGTTAGCAAATAAAAGTCAGCTGATCGAAGCCTGGCTTTTTCTCGATCGATCGCTACAGTGAAGAACATCGTCAACCAGGAGTGGGATCTGCCGTCAAAACATATCTGATCATTACATTTAACAAAATTCCCTAAGGAATCAACGATCGCCTCATGGCTTTTCGGCTCTCTCGCCAAGGAAACCGTTACGCCCCTGTTATCAGTAAATATGCTCCAACAATGACGAATCTTGAGGAGATGAAATATAAATTCTGCAAGGACTTAAAAGACATCATCGAAGGCGTGCCAAAGTAGGACAAATGCATTATTGTCTACGCCTCTCATGCTAGAGTGGGAAATGGAGGGAGTCATAGGGAGAAATGGGTTTAGGAGATGTAACAGTAATGGACTGTTACTTTTGGAGACCTGTGCATCTCACATGCAGTTTATCGTTTACCCACCTGCACACAGACGTAGTGGATGCACCCACGCAGCAAGCACTGGCATCTGATCGATTATGTTCTCGTCTGGAGAAGAGACAGGCAGGACGTTAGAGTTACAAGGGCGATGTGCAGAGCAGACTGCCGGGAATTACCTGAAAACTCAACATGTACAACTAACCTCAAGGCGCTGTGACTCCTGTTTCAATAAAAAGGCAGATGCTGACAATAACAAAACTAAACGCTTCTATAATGCCGTGAGGAACATTTATGGGCCTCAGTCCTCTGGAACATCACCACTAGAGGGAACAACGCTACATAGTGAGAATAACGCCATCCTGGAGAGTTGGGTGGAATATTTCATCAGCGTCCTAAATACGCCCTAGTCCATCAACGTTGAAGTCATTGCCCACCTATATAAGTGAAAGTGAAACAGGCAATCGTGCGGCAATCACGGAGGGATTCCTCTGATAGTCATCGCTGGAAAGATCCTTGCAAGAATCTTCTTCAACCGATGGCCACTTCCCAGAAAGCGAGTGTGGCTTCTGGAAGGGCTGTGAAACTGCCAACATGATGCCGTTTGCTGCACGGCAACTCCAGGAAGAGTATCAAGAACAGAATTGAAATTTCTACACAACGTTTCTAGACCTGACAAAGGCCTTTGACACCGTCTACTGCTAGGGAGTGTGGAAAATCTTGGCAACTTTGGCTGTCCAGATAAGTTCAACAGTATAGTGCGTCATTTCGACGATGACATGCTTGCTCTGAAGCATTTCCAGTCACCTACGGACTCAAGCAAGGCTGTGTCCTTGCCCCCACATTGTTAAACAGGATGTTAATAGCCAAGTTATTGGCGGAATTCTTCTGCAACGTCGAAGGAAGTGATAGTGGTATCCTAATTACTTGGTACAGGACCGATGAAAGACTCTTTACTTGCGTAGGCTACAGGCAATGACCAGGCTCAAAGAGGCTATAGGGTGTGATGTCTTTTTCGCAGATGACTGGATGTTCAACGCTGTCACGAGTCCCCGTTGAACTGAGTATCGACTGTCGACTGCTTTTCTTATGCTTCCCACAACTTTGGTCTAACAGTTAGTACCAAGAACAACTGAAGTTCTACACCAGCCTACCCCTTAGAAGCCGTAAGTGGTACCAGCTATCGCTGTCAAAGAGGAAACACTCAAGTCCGTTGACAAGCTCACGTACATTTGCAGCAACTTTCGAGATCTGTGAACATCGACGACTACTTCGTGACAGTAATTAGAAAAGGAGAGGCAGTGAGACAATTGAGGTAAGGCAGTTGTAGTGAAGAAATTCACAGTAATTTCGCAGTAAATCCCACACCTCGTGATGTCCGTAGTCATCGTTTACGATGATGAACAAACAACAGGCGTGACCTGGTGTTGGGTATCCGTCCTGACTATGTCTGTAAAGAGGCTGTTTTAAGAGGGAAAGATAAGTGAGACATTTCTAATTGTTAGGAAGGACAACATGCCCCTAGCGAACTGTGCTCGTGTACCCGATGATGACTATTCAATTCCTGTCACATATTTATCGGTTGCGAGGAAAGTTCTACCTGTGACAACATTATATGGACTTCTAGGTAATGCTTAAAATGTTTGCTGTTACACTGGCAGCACCAATCGCTATATCTTGAACTTTTCCTTCTCAGAATGTAGATGTCTTCGTGCTTGGAAGCCTGGTGTCATTCCTGACATTTCGGTGACTGTGTTTGACAAGGATTTGAGACCAATCACGGTAACATCCACATTATCCAATACCGTTGAAGCCGTTGTCATCAACAAATCCTTGAAGCCCACAGTTCTATCATCTACAGATCCTAAACAGTATGATTTAATCCCTGGAGCCTGGATCACCCACGACCTTAGCACTTACTGCTAGCTAGACGCTAGTGGCCAAACTCCATAGCTTGGGTGCAATGCCTAA